ATTCTACATTTCTTGTTTAACCAGTTATTCTTAATTAATTTTTTGAGAAAAGTTTAAAAAACAATTCAGTTTTTGCTAATTTTTTATGGTTGACCTTCCACTTCTATTTTAAAAATTTAAAGATATAAAAAATAAAAGTCTTTGCAAAAGTTTCTTTGCGTATAAAGTTATGCAACTTTTTTTTCAAATTTATGCTATTCAAATTTTGATTGGATAAATTTGATTTTTAATCGTTGCGTTTTAGAAAAACAAAGTTTAATCTGAAGTCTTTTTCTGAAAAAACGTTTTAAATAAGTAAAACGACAGATTGCTTCAAAAAAAAAGTTTTATCTGAAGTCTCTTTCTAAACAAAACGTTTAAAGTAATCAAAAAGACAGGTTGCTTCAAAATATCTTAATTTCCTTTTTTTATTTATTTTTAATTGTTATTCAAGCTATCAAGAAGGCTATTCAAGATTTCTTTTTTTTTTTTCACTTTTCTTTAATGAAGTCAAGAATAAATCTTCTTTTAAAATGCCAGTCAGTAGAAGTTCAGTTAAATTCTAAAGTTTTAACAATTATAAAGATAAACATGCTAAAGGAACACTGCTACCTATAAAAGCTTTATAAAAAATAAACAGGGTAATCAAATTTTGAAATTTTCTGCTTTACTCTAAAACGCAGTGAATAGCTAGTTAAAAAAAGTTCTAGAAGCTTGTTAATAAGTATACCTTAAAGAGGTTGAATGATTGTATCATTCTTGCTAGAGTATTTTGGCAAAAGTTAGCCTCAGGACTTCAAAAAAGAGAAAAGTATTATGTGTTTGGTTGATTATGGAATATGATTAGAATTAACTTTCTAATTAAGTTGTTGCAATTGGAAAGCTTTGGAAAAAAACCATTTAATTTCAACAGTCGATGTATACTTAATCATATAAAAAATGAAGATTCGCGCAGTTTAAAAATATTTTGGAGAATTATTGTCCAGTTATTTGTCCAAAAAGTTAAAACTATGGAATATAGTTGAAACCGGCTACAAAAACAAATAGATAACAATGGAAGAGTAGCAAACTTTACATCAGGTGTGCAAGATGAGTTTTGTTTTAGCTTGATTAAAGTTACAAGGCAGCCCATTTAGCTGTGAACTAGACATTATTGAAGTAGATAAAAATATGTTAAAATGAAAAAAAAAGTTCGAAAAATGAGGTTCTTTATATTAGGGATACAATATAGGTCATTGTGGCGAATTTCTGTTTAAATACATGATAGTTGATATAAAAATACAAACCTCTATTTTATGTCTACCAAAGAACACGCTCATAACCTAGATGTTCTATAAGGAAAGTTCACGCAGCAATCTCTATCACATATGATGACTTTTATAGTTATTTTCCATTTTCAATAGTAAATAACATAACTGTAACTGTAAAAAATTCAACACAACACGAAGAGGTAGAAATTAAACTGTCAATGCTTGGCAAATCAACTGGTGGCATATCAACTGTTGTCAAAATTTCACAAATAAAGTATATTTTTGGTTTTGGAACAGCAGTAAACAAAATGCTTGTTGGCACGATTTTCTCAAGAGCAGAAGCTACATCATTGATATTTAATAATTGTACTGTATTATTCGATAGAGGATTATATTTTTCTTTTTGTGTATACTAACTTTCTCTTTTTTTTTTACCTCTTTCGCCAAAATCTTCACGACTAAAGTCAAGGTCTTTGATTTTAGAAAGCGCTACTTCTTTTCTAGATGGCAGCCATTCATTTGACGTGCTTGTACATGCAGGGTTAGTTAATCCATTTCTTACAGCAGCTTCTACTCTATACATTGCTGCAGCAACATGGTTACAAGTTTGACCCATGCCAGCCATGCATGTACAATGACAGGCTTTAATTTTAGCACTTTTTTCTAATACTCTCCGACATTCTGATTTAAATATACAGTAATTACTACCTGTTAAATTATGATACATAAGAGGCTGAAGCTAGGAAGATTTATAGTAGCTGTATGCTTTTGAGTTTTTATAGTTACTTAAGTCATTACTTCCGAGTTCTGAGGGATTAAACATTAAATAGTTAAATATATCTGGATATAATAAAAATGACGTATTTTAAATTCACTCAATCGGTGTATTACAACATCAGAAATTACTGCTTTTGACAGTATAAATCTGTCAACACATTGATGTTTGCTTGTTTTTTTAAAAATAATTTCAAATTATTGAATTATGAAATCTTCCTTACGGTGGCATAGATTTATAAAGTTTTTATAGTTTTTATAATGAGCAGAACATCCATCAGAAAAATAATAAATTTTATTGATACCAACTAAATATTCTTTAATGAACTCTACAATTTTCTTTTGAAATTTATACACAAAGCAATGATCATGATCATTGTCATCTCTTAAAAAACAGAACGACTTATGTTGAATATTTGTTTTAAAAATTTCCTTAAAATATATAAAAACAGAATGTAGTGTACATTGTTGTTTATTCCAATGATAACTTTGTATTTCATCCTGTATAACAAATTGATAGTTCTCTACAAAATCTGCCTGTATAATACATTCATTGTAACCTAAATTATTTTTTAGCTCTTTCAAATAGCGAGTATGTCTTTTAGCTATATACGAATGTGAAGTTAGTTGATTAATGTGAGAAACAACTAGTTCTTTATATTCAAATAAGTTAACTGTCTGAGTAATTAATTGTGATCTATTAGTACTTTGCCATTGATTAAATTGAATTTCTTCTTCGTCATCAATCTCAAATAATTCCTTATCTAAAAATGCCTTTAAGTTATCATAACCTGGACATTTGGCACATCTGTGAACCATGCATTCATTATTGCTTGTATCACATACTAATTTTGACATTAAATCTTTGAATGTAACATTTCATTGGACAGCATTTACAAGCAATATTGAGTTTTGATTGTGAATACAAACACATACACAGTGTGTACCGTTTGGTCCCACACTAATACACAATTTTGGACGCAAACTACAAAACTTTGAAAATCCTATTTTAAAATTAGGGTATTTACTTTTAAAATCAATATAAAGCTTATGAAGGTTGCACAACAACAATCTTTTTTGTTGTGGAGGAGCACTTTTAACCATAACACAATCTTTTTTACCAAGCATAATTCTAGAATGTTTATCTTGATGAAAAAATCTTGAACCAAAACTGTAAGAAAGTCAGGTATTTTTTGGCCTATTTTCTTATAGGTATAGCAAGAATTCCATTTTCATAAGTTACCTAGCACGTTGTATAAGATGTTCAGAAACTTCAAAATATTCTGAAGCATATTTTCTAGACCAAGATTTAGGTGTAAGTGTTGATATTTGAATTTGCTTTTTTTTTTATCTGTAGGATGACTGAAAAAAGTTGAGGCTACTCTTAAATTATCTATATTTACTCCATAAGCACCCGCCACTCCTTCCATTTTTGTGTAGGCTTTGACTAATTTCCTTTTTGCTGTTACAACTCGTTGATACTTTGTGACTCCATGAATTTAATTAGTGAGACTCTAACTGTTTTGACTGTTGTTTATAACAAGATTTACCTTTAACAAATGGTACCTCACCATCAATTTCTCCAACTATTCTCAAAATCTCCAATCTTTAACAAATAGTACGCCATTAATTTCATTAATTTAACAAATGGTACATCACCATCAATCACACTCTTTCATTATCAGAAACTTCATCACAATTTGACAAAAACTGAATACATGAGCAACAAAATTTTCATCCTGGATTGCAGTCTAGATTTTTGGATCCCAGCAAACACGCGGACGTACAATGAACATTCAGATGGAATGTCTCGGACGCGTTTTAAACTGATTCTAGATTAGACGCTCAAAGACATCCTTTCAGGACGTTCTATAGACATCGTAAAAAGATTTAAATAAGACTTTCCGTTCAAGTGCAGTTTAAGAAAATTGAACATTCAAAAGACGTTCTGAACATCTTTTGAACGTTCAAAATACATTTGTTATGCAATGAGCGTATTTTAGCAATCACAGAATTTGTAGGGTTTTGGGGACAAAAATTGCACATTCAGAAACCATAACAGAAACGGCAACCAGTGTGTCTTATTAATTAAAACAAATAAAACACAAAATTAAAAGTATACACAAGATTAAAACATATTTCAAACTACAGATCTAAATAATCATAAAAACTGTTGTCGTTTTTCACGATCACCAACGCCTTTTCTATCCGGTGCTCTTTTTCAGCATATTTCCAACGCAATTTCCTAGTTCATTCTCAGTATATTCTTGGGCATGGTCTCTGCAAAATACAAAAAAGTATATATAAATAAGATTTATAAAATATAAAATAAAGAAAATAAAAAAGATTAAATTAAGTTAGCTTATGCAAATGTGAAGACTAACTGAAATGTTATTTTGTAATAAGTAATTATATTTTGACAAAAAAAAAGACAACTTATTATTATGTGTAGTATAATAGTTTGATCTTATTCATGTATGATATGATCTTTGTGAGTTGATCTTATTCATGTAACGAATAAATCAATTAATTTAGTTTTGTTCCAAAGCATTTAATTAACTGCCCATATCCTGAAAACGGTCTAGAATATCCCCTGATATATATATATATATATATATATATATATATATATATATATATATATATATATATACATATACATATACATATACATATACATATACATATATGTATGTATGTAATACACTATTAAATGAATTAAATAAGTCATATTTATTTATTTATAATTGAGTACTCTTATATGTAGAATAATTTTTTGCATTTTTTATACAAATAATAATATAACATAATAGTAATAAAAATCATAATAATAATAATAATAATAATAATAATATATATATATATATATATATATATATATATATATATATATATATATATATATATATATATATATATATATATATATATATATATATATATATATATATATATATATATATATATATATATATATATATATATATGTATATCTAGGATGCTAGTGTCAGTGAAATAAGGAAAGCTTATAGGCAAAAGAGTTTAGTTCTTCATCCTGATAAAAATTCAGCTGAAGATGCTGATCAAAAGTTTAGACAGGTAATTTTTTTTAAAATTGCAATGCATTTTCTAATGAATTTTTACACCTTTTTACCTCTACAAAGCAAAGAAATTTACTTAAGTCAAGTAGGTAACTTATTCTTTTAATTTTTTTTTAAATATATATTGTTGTAGCCTATGTTCAAACCTAATAAACTTTGGTGACTGTCTGTTGTGGGGAGAAACATTTTGAGGAGTTGAGTTTTAAGTTTTAATTTTAATTTGAGTTGTTGTTATAAAACAACAAAAAACATATATGTATATCTTTTCTATTAATTCACCTCTCCAAGACTCCAGTCTACAGAACAGTAGAATAGAGGAAGTAGTAGAGGAGACATTTTTTGTATGTTTGTATTTACTTACATTAGGTAGATCATAATGGATCGTTTATAAAAATATTGTTGTTGCACAAAAACCTTTGAGGGGTTTTATTGCAATAATGACTGATACAATGTAGACTACAGGTGATGATAGAGGTTACAAAGACGCATCCCTGACAATTCAATTTTAATCAAGCCCTCCAAAACATCATTGTTGAATGCATTGCGGTCCTAAGAATGAAGTTTCATTCACAGTCCACTACATAATTCTAATTGGATTTTACAACATCGATATTTTTTTATTATTTTTCTGCTCTTCCCATTTTTATGTATATGTTTATTATTTAGTATTGTATTTGCCGATTGAAAATAATTTACACTCGTAATTTATAAAAACAAATATTTACATGACTGGGGCTTGAAGAAGACAAAATTCATCTTATCATTAAGCCCCCAATCATCTTATCATTAAGCCCCCATTCATCTTATCATTAAGCCCCCTTTTAATCTTTTTTTTTTTTTTTTTCAATCCTTTTCATCTTATCATTAAGCCCCCTTTTTTATTTAACTATTGTATATTTTTATATTGTTTTTTACTTTGCAGTAGGCTTTATGTTTTCTTCTATATAAATATATAAATAGAGAAAAATTTTGAAAAATATATGATGAGACCCCATTAATATGTTCTATATGATAAAAAAAACTGGTTTTAAATAAATTTTATTAAATTTTCAAAATTTTATTTAAAAAATTTTATTAAATTTTTTATATAAAATTTCAAATTATATATTAATACTACCAGCGAATGCTTGTACTTTTCGATATAAGATATCATAGTTTTAATTACTTTTCAGAGAATAACTGAAAACAAAATCTACCTGAATTATATGTTATCTTCCTTTTTATTAAGTTTACAAAAACTAATGTTTTTTCCACATCTTATGCGTCATTAGACTTTAGTTTTTGACATTACTTTTAATTCCTCCATAAAAAATCCGATAGGAGAGATCTTGTGATTGGGGAGGCTTAATCATTCTATTTAATTTTTTATCATTCTCAAACTCAGTCAAATAACTTGAACAATTTTTTAAAAAAATTGTTTCAGATTTAAGCTTCAACTCATTTTCTTCTAAAAAAATAAATAGCTTCTCATTAAACTGTCTTTGCGAAGGTGTAGCATATTTTTTTAAGTGTACAAGTAAACTACTTTTGTCATTACTCCCTCTACTTTTACCTATGGCATTCTAACCAAATAGTTACACACCTTAACACTACATCCACAATGTTTTACAGACAATAGTACACACTATTTTATCATAAATTCAACAATTTTTCCAGGTAAACAATCTTATTTTGAAACCAAAGATTTAAAACTTCGACACGTTGGTCTGCGTTTAGGGTCATTGATGGTCCACTTTTTATGCAGTTTTGCCCACTTTACCCGGTTGCTAATTTCTAATTAAGTTTATCTTGGTGATGGGGATTTTATCTGTACGAGACTACTGCATACAAAAATTATATGCAGTTTTACGAGACTACTGGTAAAGTACTTTTGCATACAAAGATGCAATTTTAATTATGATAATAATCAAGAGTTGAACATTTAAGAGTTAAAGGAGTTTTTTTTTTTTTAAATGTGTACTGATTGCAAAACTAGCTCACATGTTCCATGTTGTTATATGAGCTCTGAGGAGATTTTGTTTTTATGTTTTGTTTCAACCTTGATTTGAGGAGAATGATATATTTTTTTATTACATAACTCTAATAAAACATCATCCTCAAACCATCAAACTCTTTTTAAAGATTTAAAAAAGTTTGGCAAGCTACATTAAGATATATATTAAAGATGACACTTGGATATTATTATTCTATTTAAAAATTTAACAAAAGAAGTGAAATTTGTTTAACTTAACCAAATAAAAGTAGATTATGGCATCGAAAAAGTTCAAATGATTGTAACATTTTTAAGTATTGTAATAATTGAAAAAAAGTGGTAAAAATTAAACGTTTTAATGGAATAATTGTAATGAAGACAATAAAATTATTAGAAAAAAGAAGTCAGTTGTCATGCTATAAGTTTTTGTAATAATAAAATGTGTTTTGTATGTATAAACTCTCAAAATATTTAACGTGAATTTACATGTGTGCAATTTTTTTTTTAATATATATATTTACCCTTGGTTATCCATTAAAATGTGGTGCGTTAAAAGTTATTCCATTAGGTTATTAGTTTACTATATCAAAACAAAATGCCGTAATTAAGTCATCAATTTTTTTCAAATTTTTATCATGCTACAACGTTATGTAATCTGTTAATTACTAATTGATCGTGCATTTAAAGCTAAATTGTAAATGTGAAAAGTTTTCTAATTGTGTTTCTGGTTAAATGTAATATCCTTATGTTATGAAGTATGTTTTCTATGAAGTAAATTTTCTGATTCAAAAGTGCTCAATACAAACTTTATATGCTGCTGTACCAGACTACTGGTAAAGTACTTCAAGTATGCGAAGGGTAAATCTTAAGCCGGTTATTCAAAGCTCATTACTGTATTTTTATTCTAACTTGTTAATTATAAAGAATTAAACATTTTTAAGAGAATTTTTAAAACTATAGAAAATTTTTACAGATGTTTTACAGAACTAACTTACATGTTTTATGCAAATCTACAAACTCTGAATAAGTTTCTTTTTACCCTAAATTTTGAAAAGGCTGATTAGGCACACATCAAAATTTTTCATTACTTAACTCTAACTACTAAAACATCATCCTTAAACCTTTGAACACTTGATTTTATTGATTGCACCAAAAATTACATAATGAAACTATTCTCAAAATTTGGAAATATGGAATATATTTTATTTAATTGTTTTTTTCAATTTTCTAAAGCAGACATAAAATTTATCAAAGTTTGTTGCTTTAATATTATTTACCTTCAGTTGCTATTGGAGAGTAAACATTTTTTACCAATTATAAAATACAATAACCAATATTTTGTTATAACAGCTATATATCAACAAACATGTGTTTTATATATATTGACTTTTGAAATTGATATAAACAAGACCATTTGTATTTTTGCAATTTTTCTTGTTTCAACCTTTTTACACTTAGTTCTTCATAAAGGTGTGGTAAGTTAAGAGTTATTCCTTTTGGTAAACAATTTACTATATCAAAACACACTTGTGGAAATCAGGTAATAGACTTTATTATTATAGACCTTATACTTTATTAGGCTACATTATGTAATCAGTACCAAAGCCAATTCTAATCAGTTCTTGCTCAGAATTGCTTTTAATTTGAGAGTGTTGCAAATTACCTTGGCTAGCTATAACCATAGTCATAAAATACATAGTCTGGTGAGTTTAAGAGCGCTATTGTTTATCTTATTGTTAGCTTTTTTTTTTTAGAACCCATCCTACCAATGAGTGCACTTTTTGTAAACAAATGCGCATTAAGAAAAATATTTACAAAAAGATTATTGATTTTTCCTTGATTTTTGGAAATGCCTCGTTATAATTGTTGCATATTTGGTTTTGGAACTTCTTGAAGTTCCAAAACCAAATATGCAAATAAATGTTTTTCTGTTTGAAATATTTTCTTCCGATGATGTTTATAACAAAAAATCAAGAAGAAAAGTTTTACAAATTATAAATGAAAATGTATTTTTAGTTAATAATATATTATAACTAAAATATGATATCAGATAACTTTATTGTTGGATCGACAGGTTTACTACCTTCAATAAATCAACCAGTTAAGAGCTTTTCATTGGCAAATCCTTCTTTAGGCAGAATATAGTTGTTTTTAATATTACTAAAGCTCAACTCAAAGTAAACAACTTTTTCTTCTGAAGTTGATGAAAGTCAATATTTAAATATTTACATTAAAAAAGATCAATGCTTAATACAGTTGTGCCTAACCTTATTTCATTTAAAAAAAATAACAAAGCTATTTGGTATGTGGCTAATTTTAATAGCAATAAATCATAAAAACATTATTTGGTATAAAATAAAAGATAAAATTATTTTATCTTCAAAACAAGAATATCACAATATTTAATGGTTTATGCAAAGCATAACCATTAAATAGTGTGTGTATATATATTTAAATATATATATATATATATATATATATATATATATATATATATATATATATATATATATATATATATATATATATATTATATATATTGTATATATATATATATATATATATATATATATATATATATATATATATATATATATATATATATTTATTTATATATATATATATATTGTATATATATTGTATATATATATATATATATATATATATATATATATATATATATATATATATATATATATACATATATATATATATATATATATATATATATATATATATATATATATATATATATATATATATATATATATATATATATATATATATATATATATATATATATATATATGGTCATAATTTTTGAAAAATAAGAGATAATTGCATGAAATTTAAAATTTGTTGATGAATATAAACTTTCTCATTTGACATAAGCATGAATATACAAAAGTTTGGATTTTGCACCATGCCTGTAAGTTTCAAAATTAAAACATCTAAAAATCCAGTGTACACCACTGATATATATATATATATATATATATATATATATATATATATATATATATATA